AGATAGATAGATAGATAGATAGATAGATAGATAGATAGATAGATAGATAGATAGATAGATAGATAGATAGATAGATAGATAGATAGATAGATAGATAGACGTACGAGCAGCTGGGCATCCACTTCCTTCTTCCACGTAGTCTGCCGCGCCTCAAGCGACGCAAACTCGGTGCCGTAGCTCACGCTCATCACACCAAGCTTGCGTTGGAGCGACTATAGTACACATTTCGTAGAATTTTGTCAGCCATTTTTGTCCAAAGTCAAAATACAAAAATGCGCAAAAGTACCTCGAGGTCTTTTGTGAGTTTGTCGATGGCGTCTTTGGTGCGCCTCTCTTTGGCCTCGACCGCGCTACATAGCTTTGGATTCAACCCTTTAACTGGGATTGCGGCGTACGAAAGATCGGCTTTGGTCGTTTTGAGACTTGCAATATCGTCCATGAGACTGCGTATCGAGCGCTCGGCGTCGTTCTGGAGCTGATTCAAGAAGAGAAGGGACGTGGCGTCGGCTTTGGCAGCGAGTTCGGACCGCACCTACGTTGCGTGTTTCAAGGCTCGTGTGGACTATAGACAATATTGTACACGCGTCGTGAGATCGGCAATGGTGTTCTGAAACTCGAGAGTAAACTATCGACACGGTGGTGTCGATGCAAGCAAACATGGGCCGAGCACCTGCTTGGAACCTGCAAAGAGTTCCTAGTTTGTTCCACTTATATTAGCGTGGCGACCGAGATCGACTAGTACCTTGGAGTGTTTCTCGAGCATCTCAAGCCGTCGCGCGACCGTAAAGACGTCCTTCTTCTTGGTCGTCAGAATGTTCTATTGCCCAAACTTCATAAGCGGTGGGCAACCATGAGAGACCCTACCCCCTTGACTTTCGTCAGAAGGAATTGCTTCTTGCGCAGCTTCTCCCACGCGGCCTGACCGAGCGCCTTGCGACGTGCAATCTCCTCGCGCGACAAGGCGTCAGTTGTCGACGGTGGCGTTGCATTGTAGACGACATCAACGTCATCGTCGCTGTAGCTATCGCTGCCGCTCTCTTCGCTCTTGGGGTCGATCGGTTGGAGGGGCGGATCGTTGCGTGGCGCGACCTCAACCGTGTTGCGCTTGGACGATGGGAGGCGTCGCATCGATCCTTGCTTGGACCGCACCCGGGGGAGACCCCCGGTGGTGGTGCTACCCCCTTTTGGTGACGTGACAGTGGCCGGCACCGGTGCTGGCGACGGTGTCGTCTGCGGGGTCGTATTGAATTTGACACTGAGAACGGGTGCTGCTTTGATATGCGCCACCTTGGGTGCCGAGTGAGTGCGCACAAGCACAAGGCCCACCGTCAACTGCGCATCCATGTGCATGGGGGGCACCGTCTGCGACCGCTGCAGTGGAAATGCGACCGACAGCGGGGACTCTACTTCGCTGGGATCCACCCGTGGGTGAGGTGCCGCAACGGCGCTCTCGAGTCGCGGAACATCGCTCTCCAGAACGCTCGAAGGGTCGGTCGCCATGGCAGCTTCGTCCAGTGCGGGGGGCGGTGGATTAGTGAGAGGCGCAGTCGTTGGCGCCGCGGGTGCATTGTCTTCGAGAGCAGACGGCGCTGTGCGATCATCCACGGGCATCTCCTCGGTCAACTGAGCGTTGACAGCATCCGTTGCAACCACCGCTGCTTGGGTGTCGTCACCTTCGACGAGGCTGGGTCCCAACGTAGCGTCGACTACTGGCGCGTCTGTCGGCGCCACCACTTGAGACACCATGTCCGAGGGGTTTTGCGGCGTGACTTGTGGCGTGTCTTTCGGGGCTGCTTGAGGGTGGGGCTCCGACGGCACTTGAGCGGGGGCATTGGAGGCTACTTCAGGGGGGGCATTTGATGGCACTTGAGGCGTCCCTTCTAAAGCCGTCTGTGACACAACCGCTGCTGGTGTTGCGATTTCAGGCGCAGCGGCCGGGGGTTCCGTATTGAGTGCAGCCGCATCGACGCTCGATGACGACGTTCTGCGTCGAGCCTCTTCGAGAATCGTACGTGGCGGCTCCACCGCGGGCGCTGACTTGCGTGACCCGCTCATGTCTGGGATCACCGCGTCATCGACGACAAACTTGGCGTGGTGGCGATGTCGATGGTGCCGCACCTTGGTACCGGCGCCAAACTTTTTGAAAATGTTGTCGACGACGTTCGAAGACGCGCGTTCGCTGAGCTTGCGTTCGAGCGGGAAGTGGATGACGCTGCCTGCGTCAAAGGTGTCTTCTGTCGAGCCTTCAATGTTGTGGGCGATCGTGCGGAGGCGCTGGTCCATCTCCGTGACGCCATTCGACATGGCGTTGATGTACGACTCGAGCGTCTCGATCTTGGCGCAGAGCGTTCGCAGCACCTTCTCGAGCGACGTCGCCTGCGTGCCGAGGTGCGGCACGATGTTCTGGATGATCTGAACCGGGGCCGGCGCCTGCATCGGTTTCACTTGTACTTTTTACGCCTGCCAAAACGCACCTTTGATGCAGTGGTCCCGTGCGATATTTGATGTTCGACAAGCAAACGACCGCGACACTGTCGCAAAGAATGAGGTGCTAGCAGTAAGAGCAGTGGGCAGGTAGTCCCACTAGACTCGGGTAATAGAGGATGAGCTAATGATGGTCCCCGCCTCAGTCGCTGGCGTCTCGAGGACCTTGACACACTGCGTAGCTTTGCCGCCGACCGCG